CTCATTCCCATTCACACTTGTGATTACTAACTATGTTTTTCTCTCCAACCTATTTTCCCTGCTGTTTATGCTTTTCTCTCTCCTTTCTCCCTTTCCTTCAGATAAAGAAGGAAATCATTCCAGGCATGGGAGACAGCCAGTGAAAATCCCCAGAGCACAGAAGGGTATGTGGTGGGGTGTAAGGTGAAAGAAGCCTGGAAGGCAGGGGGCCTCAGGTTGTGAACAACTTCAAACTCCATATAGGATTTTACAGTTATTCCTGGAGGGAATAAGGAGCCACCTATGTTTATGGAATATGGCAGGCTATCAGGGCTTAAATTAAGGTTTCCTGACTCCTTCCATGACACTAGAAAAGGCTTTTTCTAACAACTTTTCACCAGTCTAATGAACCTATATTAACTCCTTCCTGTGATAAAAGGTGCTGACCATTGGGAAGGACTAGGGCTCTCCATACAGACCATCATTCACTAGGAGCTTTGAGTTCAGGCTCCTCAATTCCCCAGCTTTATTACAAACTGCCAGCAGAGGGCAGCAAAGTGGTACCAAAGGGTTGCTCTACTGGTTTCTCTCAAGTACTTTAAAGATGGAGTTTTTGGAAGAATTCTGGGGAAGGTGGATGGGGACAACAGTCTTGCATTTCACGCCTTGTAAATAGGAGAACTAAACTCCATTTTCGGAGAAATAGAAGTCTGCTTAGGCCAGGGGAGTGCTGCTGACCGCAGTGATGCCCACTTTGAAGTAACTTTCCACAGCCATCATTGGGATAGCTAAATGAAATGTCACCTTGTTGTATCCTTGTTCCAAATTTTCCTGCTGCATGAGAGAGGCAGTGCCCACTTTAAAGAACATCAAAGGGAAACAAAGTCTAGTGCCCTCTTTCCATCATTAGTTAATTCTAGTCCTGATGGGGTGTAGGGTGTGTTCAGGGAAGACTAGTACCTCTGGGGTGAAGGCTGCCAGGCCCTTTCCAGGGCTGATTTCCAACCTTGGTGTGCACCTGTTCCAACTAACTCTCACCTGTGCCTCCAAGAAGCTGTAGCATGTGCAGCTGCCACACTTAAGTAAACCATTTCAGCAGATGGGCTAAACCAGGTTGAGGGAAACTGAGGGGTCTCAAACCCATTGGCGAGTTAGGGGGTGTCTCCCCCAAGCATGTGAAGACTTCCCCTGGTAGAATGGCAGATGAGAAAAATTTGTTCCAATGGCCATGAAGTCAGCTGAGGCAGGTACTGTGGAGTGCTTAAATCGAAGACGTGAAGGTTATCCACTGCATCTTGAGCCATCACCAGTCATCTTGATTCTGTCCTGCCACTGGACCATGATGACTCTGGAGGAGAGAGTGAGGTCAATGACTTTGTGCAACTCTGCTTCACTTAAATCCAATTAGCACACAAATCTAAAGACATCACCCATCACATTTTGCCATTTTTACCTTTCTCAAAGTCTTGTGCTGACAGGCAAGTAAGTGATGAAGCAGCAGGTATGGATACATTGGGAGTTGTAGTCACAATCCTGCACACAGGCAGCCCAAACCATAGGGTCTTTTATCACTGGAAGCAGCAGTGGGATTCAGCAACCCCCTGGGTGTCTGAGTAGCCTTTGAAGGATCGCGCTGCTCACCTCCTGGTGGGAGGAAGGGGCTAGAAAAGGTGCCCTAAAATTATCTGCTTCAAATACAAAAAATGTACAAAAATCTGCAAAGACGATTCCACTCACCATTGGCACATGGAATGTGCAGACAACACTAAATCCAGTAGACTTTAAAAATGAACAGCATTTGTTGCAAGAGAACTCATCAGGAATCACATCCAAATAGCAGCTCTGAGTGGAATAAGGATGGCAGATGAAGCCAGCTTACTGAAGTTGGAGCTGGATGCACATTTTTCTGTAGTGGCCATCACTAAGCTGGTGTAGGTTTTGCAATCAAAGCTAATCCAGTTAACAAGCTTATATGCCTACCAAAAGGAGTGACTGACAGGATAATGACAACGTAATTGCCACTTACAGTTCAACGTCATGACATTCTCATCAGTTCCTCTTCTCCCACTATGATGAACCCTGATGAGGTCAAAGAAAAAATTTATGAAAACCTGGAGACCCTTATCATCAATGTGCCAAAAGAATACAAGCTTATAATTTTGTCTGATTTTAATGCTAGAGTAGTCTCAGACTACCAGAATTGGCAGGGAGTGTTAGGGAGGAATGGAGTTGGAAACAGCAACAGTAACTCATTACTGAAGACTTGTGCATCTCATGACCTTCTCATCACCAACACTGTCTTCCATTTACCTAAATGCAATGAAACCTCATGGATGCACCCTTGCAGCAAACACTGACATTTAATAGACTATGTGACTGTAAGGAGAAGAGACAGACAGGATGTGAGAGTGACAAAGGCACTGTGTGGTGCAGAGTGCTGGACTGATCTTAGACTTATCCTCTCCAAACTAAATATTCACATTGAACAAAAGTGGAGTCCCCAAGGCAAAATGACTACCAGAAGAATTAATGTCAACAGATTAGAGTTGTTCTCTCAATGGGAACAGTTTGTTGCTAACTTGGAAGGAAAGTTGAGTCAACACACAATTGGCAACAGTGGAGCAGAAAAGGAATGAGCAGCTTTCAGAGATTTGGCGTATAGCGCTGCATTTGCTCATCTGGGTCAGAACACTCACAAACATCAAGACTGGTTTGATTAAAAATGATGGGGAAATTCAAAATCACTTAATGAAAAACGAGAACTCCACAGGGTTTACCAGAGGGATAGTTCCTCCATCTCTAAGAAGGCGGCATTTAATTCCATCAAAAGTGAAGTACAAGCAAAGCTTTGCTTCAGAGGTCTCCAGATTGAAAGTCTACAACAGAAACAATGATCTTCCCAACCTGGTTCTTCTAGTTCCTGGTGCTCTGGGCCCAGGGTGAGATCAACCATGGATGTTAACAACTGCTACCTTGTGCTGCACCAGGAGATTCAAAAACATGGAAATTGAAATGGGTTGGGATAGAGGAGGGTCATGAGAGGCTGGTTCCTACAGTAAGTGGGAAGGACACTTCATGTCAAGTCAGTATTGGACATGCTTCCTGATTCCAATCTATTTCTTCTCATTTTCATTCCTCAACCCAAGGGTCCTGTGCAGCCCTTTTGCTGACCCATTCTCTAGCTGCTGTGACTATTGCTCCTAGAGAAAGAGTCACCATCAGCTGCAGAACCAGTCAGAGTATTTACTATGGGTATGCTTAGTACCAGCAGCTGCCAGAACATTCTCCCAAGCTCCTGATCTATGATGCTTCCACCCTGCAATCTGGGGTCCCTGCCCGCTTCAGTGGCAGTGGGTCTGGGACAGATTTTTCTCTCACAATCAGCAGTGTGGAGGCTGAAGATGTTGGACATTATTACTGTCAGCATTATTTTGGCGCCGCTAACCCACAGTGGTGCCCACCTGAACAAACATCTCCCCAGGCTGTTCAGATCTTTAGCTCAGGAGACCAGCTGCTTCCTCCAAAGCCACCACAGAGCCCTGGGGAGGGCTGACCCTAACAGCCCAGCTCTGGGGGCCACAGATCCCAGTGTCTCACATCTTAGAAATGGCTAGGGAGTGAAAAGAAAGAAGACAAGAGAGAACCTTCTCCCATCTGTCAAGTCAGGCTGATGACCACCTCCAAGGTACCCCAGTGAAGTGGGTCCCCTTCCTTACTCCTTGACCCCTTACTATGGAGACTGCTCACATGAAGATCATCAGGCTCCATTTGGGGAAAAGATGTGAAGGGTTCAAGAGACAGGCTAGGCCTGACACATCAGATGCTCTTCTTGGACCCTGCCCTGACAGGCAGCACCGGGACAGGATCCTTAATGATGCTCTGGATGTCCCATTCAATATTTCCCTCCTTCTCCTGGGAATATGGTTCTCAGGAGACTCTCTGTCCTTGTCCCTGTCATCTCTTAGGTGTCACCAGTTCATCATCCCAGAGCCTCACTCAATCAGCAATGTATTTGGCCAGCCTGCATTTTTGATCCATCAAGAAAGAATTAATAAGAGAATAAAAGACTTATATTACCTTGCTTTCCTCTGAGCTCATTTTTGGGGTCCAGACTCCCATTACCCAGCTTCCCTTCCTCTTGGCTGCCCAAACGCCTTCAGACCAGTGTCTTCTCAGTCCTGCCGTCCCACATCCAGACTCTTCTGGATCTCAATTACTTTTCCCTCCTGCCCTCCCCAAACTTCCCCAAATGCCATTCCTTAAGGATAGCTGACTCCTTCAGGGAAGTGGGAGTGGGAAAGAAAGCTGGTTTCCCTAAACCAAGGATGGTAACACTTCCATTTTAGGAGGAACCATGCTAAGTGCCCAAAAGGATCATTAATTGGTGGGATATCAAGTCATATGTTGGAGTAAAGTGAAGGATGTCAGTAGTTGTCAGATATTTCCTGCCATTAGGTCCTGACTTCTTTTCACTAGATGATATTGCGTCTCATGCCATCCCACTGGCCTTTTAGAAACATTTTAATTGTTGTTCAGTCATTTCTTACAGTTTGTAATGCCACTTGGGGTTTTCTTGGCAAAGATACTGAAGTGGTTTGCAATTTTTTCTTCAGTTCGTTTCACAGGTGGGGAAACTGAAGCAAACAGAACTAAGTGACTTCCTTAGGGTCTCACAGTTAGTTAATGACCAAGGCAGGATTTGATGTCAGAAAGGTGAGTGTTCCTAGCCCCAGACTCAGCACTCGGTGAACTACATCAACTAGTAGTCCCATGAAACCATAAAACTGACTTAAATTAAAAAAAAAACAAACATAAGAACAGGTGGGAATGGCAGGAACATCCATCACATGAGAGTCCTAGGAGGAGAGGTATCTTCAGGGTATCAAGGTCTCAGGGCCTTCCCCTGAGAAGGAGTCAGTCACTTCTGCTCCTAGAAGCCCCACACCCCCAGATGCTTTGCATAAAGAGATCCCCAAGGGGAGGGCCTACAGACCCAGTGACATAAATTAGGGCTAGGGGCAGAGCAGCCACAGGGGAGGAGACACTGCAAAATGGGGTCACTGTCCCAGCTTCTCTGCGGGCTCCTCATGCTTTTGGTCCCAGGTGAGAACATGGGATAACACAACATGCAGACGTACAATTTTTCATAAGATGAGAAAATTCAAAGGCGCTTAGAATCTCTGGGGCCAGGAGCCAGCACACTCCAAGGCGGAATGGGGGATTTCTAGGAGGTCAGTAGGGTTTGCAGAGCCAGGCTTCTGTGGACTAAATGTCAAAGTGCAAGGAGATTGTTCTGTGCATTTCATGTTGGTTGATCATTAATTCCTGCTCTTAGGTTCCAGGGGGGCAATTGTGCTGACCCAGTCTCCAGCCTCAGTGTCTGTGACCCCAGGAGAGAGGGTCACCATCAGCTGCAAGGCCAGTCAGAGTGTCAAACACAGTGATGGAAAAACGTATCTGTACTGGCTCCAACAGAAACCTGGACAATCTCCTTGGCGCCTCATTTACCAGGTTTCCAACCTGGATTCAGGAGTCCCTGCCCGGTTCAGTGGCAGTGGTGCTGAGAAGGATTTCACCCTCACAATCAGCAGTGTGGAGCCTGAGGATGGGGCAGATTATTACTGTTATCAAACAACTTCTTCTCCTCGCACAGTGTTGCATCCCGGAACAAAAACATCCCCAGGCCCAGGCTGGTTGGTCAGGGTGGCTCAGCTGTCTCCTCTCCTTTCCCTCCCGCAGCAGCTGCTGGGCTGCCTGCTCAGGGGCAGGGTCTCTGGGGCTGACATGAGAAAAGGGGCCCAGGGCTCAGGGGAAAGGCCATGGTCTGGCAGCTCTGTGTCCTGAGGGCTCCTGCTTCTCTTCAGCTATGAGCAGTGTAGTCAAGGAAAGAACCAGCCCCTCTCAGATTGGGTCACACCACACTGCCCTGGGACTGAGCACTCTCTTATTCATATATCAACTGACTCCCCCCTGAGGGAGAAACAAAGAAGAAACCAGAGATCTCCAGCCAGAGATTCTTTCTGACCTTTCTTCCTGGATCAATATTCCCTAAAGCAATGACTGATGGACCCAGGAGCTCAAGAAGATGAGGCAGCAGCCTGACGTAATCCATCAATGGGCCAAGTTGGAATGTCACCTGCTGTCCCCATTTTCTCTGATTATATTTTTAAATCAGATATTATCTATTTTTTTATCTATTCATGTCAGCAGGCCCTGAAGAGATCTCTCTAGAGTTTCCACTACTCAAACTTTTCCAAGGAAGATTTCAATTACTACAAATAAGGGGAACAAGGGATTGGTGCCCAGAAGCTGGTCATTCTGCTCTCCTCGTAGATTGGGTGCCCACTTAGAATTACAACCTTCTTCTCTATCTTAATAATGTTAGTCTAAGAAAACAAATACTTTAAAGTCCAAGCTGAACTCCCCATTGCTAGTTCTTACTGGGAAAGGATTGCCCCAAGTTATATGAATATCCCAGACTTGTTTCCCTTCCCACAAAATGCCAGTTACTCAAAGACCACAGATATCACATATCAAAAGAACCCTTTTATCCAAGCTGGTAGTAAACAGAAAACAGAGGAATGATGCAGATGAGAATATACCAGACAATATACTGAGGGAATTAGCTTTCCTGCTCAGAGTGAAATCTATCCATTGATCTAAAAGAGCGTTCCAGATATCCCCAAAGAAGAAATAAAAGGAGAAAAGAATTGTTGTCCCTTACTGAAGCAGGAGTGCCTCAAGCTGTATCTACCTCTCTATCTGTCTATCTGTCTGTCCTCTCCCAGGCAATACAAAGAATGATTGAACTTTCCTGCTCAGAGTGAAGTGACTCATTTGGTCTAAGAGAACATCCCAGATACCACCCAAGAGAACATTCCCCCAAGTCTCTACTGTACGATGCTTGGGATAGACATGATAGAGTTGTTGACCCCTCCACATGTTGGCTCCTTCCCCGACGCCTTCTCTCCCTTCAAAGAATGTTCCCTGGAGAAAATCAGGAACTATCTGTCAGCCCTCTCAAAGCTGGAAACCTTAAGATTAGGATTACTCTATTCCCAACTCCATCCCTGACACAGGTATGAAACACTGAGTATGTTAAATATAAATATATGCATATAAATCCCATGTGTTCTATGTTAACATATATTCATATAAAGCATCTATTTTATATAAACTTTATTACGAACATATTGATTATATCAAAATATTAACCAATGAAGAGATTCTTATGAAACTGGGCATGAGCCCATGGAAATAATGTTAACAATTGTTCATCGATTGACAGAGAAAATGATTAATGTCTGCCTATTCTCAAGCCAGATTTCCAAAAGTAAACACGAGCCACTAAGACACTCATTGAAAGGAGGTACCCAAAACCCACCACTCTGATATTTTTTCCATCTGTCCTCTAAGTCTTCAATCAGTAAGCTATTATTCCAACCTTAATTGGATTCCAATTAAGTCTAAATCGGATCCATCCCCCAATAAGACGTCCTGATCACCCTATTCAAGTGTTGGGCAGTTAATAACTGTGGTGAGATATGGAGACAGAACCTGAGGTGGGGACCTGGAGACAGGAATATTTGGAGCCGTCTTTCTTTCTTAAGGACACAGGTTTATCCCTCAACCTTCCCTTTTTTAAGCTAACCATTCCCTCTCCTTCATCCTCTGTTCCTGGCTTTCAGGTGTCTCTGTGATCCAATAAATCTGTCCATTGCAAACCCAAAATGAGACCTGGGGACTCCTTTACTCAGGGAACATCAGGAGTTGTCCTGGGGAATGCTAATCACAGAACCTGATGACAAGGAAAGGAATGGCAGTGTGCCAGGCCAGATTGAGAAAGGTCAGAAAGAGCAGTTCAAGGCCTAGGAGCTGAACATGAACTAAAGGTCATCTTTGAAGACCATTGGTCACTTTTGTAATTGGCACCTGCACTATGTCAAGCCCCTCCTGGATCACTACCTTGTGGTGGTGGAGAGACTCGCATTGTGCAATGAAACTATGAGCTCTGCCATGCAGGGTTGTTCAAAATAGACAGGTCATAGTGGAGAGTTTTGACAGAAGGTGATCCAGTCATGACAAACACTTTTTTCCAACACTTCAAAAGGTGACTCTACACATGGACACTCACCAGATGGTCAATATAAAAATCAGACGATATAAAAATCAGACTGATTATATACTGTGTGGTCAAGGGTAGAGAAGCTCTATGCATTCAATTGAGAATTTAAAATGAAGCTGACTGTGCCTCAGATCTTTAACTTCTTATCGTAAAATTCAGACTTGACAAAGTTACAAGGGACTTCAAAACACCACAGAACTTTACAGTTACCACAAAACTGCCCCATGAGTGATTTCTGTATCAACTGCCTGAGCTGACATTTAACAAATCATATATTTGTTTGAGAAGAAGAAAGAAGGAAGGAAGGAAGGAAGAAAAGGTGGAGGGAGAGAAGAGATAATGAGAAGTAAACAAACACTTATTGAGGACCTACTGTGTGTCAGGCCCTGTGCTGAGGACTTTCCAAATGTTATCCCATTTGGTCTTCACAACAACCATGGGAGGCAGGTGTTATTATTATTTCCACTTTATATTGGAGGAAACTGAGGCGGACAGAGGCAAAGTGATTCACCCAGCATCACATAAATGTTAAACGTGTAAAGCCCAAATTTGAATTCAGCTCCCCCAGATTGTGGGCCAGCACTTTATCCACTGTACCACCTAGTAGACTCTAGAACAAAAAGAAAAGAAAATCAATACATAATTTTAAGAACAATTAAATTAGGGGCAGCTAGGTGGCTCAGTGGATAGAGCACTGGCCCTGGAGTCAGGAGGACCTGAGTTGAAATTCGGCCTCAGACATTCGACACTTACTAGCTGTGTGACCCTGGGCAAGTCACTTAACCCCATTGCCTAGCCAAAAAAAAAAAAAGAACAATTAAATTAGATTATATTAAATGCATTGAAGACAGCTCAAACATTATATATTTAAGCAATCTGTTAGTGGAAAAAATGAAAAATAATTAAAGTCATGGACTACCCCCATGACCTATGGAAGTGTAAGGAAAGTAAAACAATCATCGATAGAAGTAGGACAAAAAAGCCTCCCAAAAAACCACCATGTCTCCCCAGTACTTGATTTCCTTGACAAAGAACCAGCAATGGCCCACCAAGGCTAACTCTGGTGTACAGAAGGACACGAGAAAATTTGTAAAATATCTTATATGAGCAGATTATAAATCACACTATCACATAAAATATTGACGAGTATTGTAGGGGAAAATAGTTTCACTCGTGGAAGACCCAATTAATCCACATCATCTCAAGGGATGAAACTGATTGGAGAGCTAGAAATGGAAAAAGTCTGCCAAGGTTTTGACAGAAACGATTTTCTTTGTCAATGACAGTGAAGGTCCCACAATGGGCTTGTGTTCTCATTGTCCTCATTTGAGGCACAAGGAAGGAGAATTACTAAGAAAACAACATGAGGAGAGCAGCGGGAACAGACCAAGGACAAACAGAGGAAATCTCCACTGAAGGCAACACAGTTTAAGGACTGTTAGGGGTGGAGTCTCAAGACGTCTAAAAGAGAGCAAGATTCCAAACAATTAGAAGAAATCATGGACGCTCTTGCTGCTGAAAGCCAGAGTGAGATGGGATCTCTAACCAGTGACACCAATGCTTTTTATTGCCTCTCTATTAAATCTTTATGAAAACGATTGACATCTGTAATGAGGCCACACTTGATGAAGGTATGAGCATCGAATAGTCTTTCTGAAATGGTATCACATCTTTACAGTCACAGAGATGACTGAAAGGAGCACAAAACAGAAGCTCTCATTGTTATTATTCTTTGTACTTGACTCTACAAAAGCACTTGAGTCACTCGACGTGCATATATCACAACCATGCAAGATTCCCTGACAGACACAATGAAATAACTTCAGCTTGGGGAAGACAGCCTTTTCCCCATCAATCTGGGGCCCCTCTCACATGACCAGGCCTAGCATTAATAGAGAGTGCTGACAAATAGGAAGCACAGATGGAAGGGTGTATGTGCGCATGCATGCACACGCACACACACACACAAACACACACACACACACACACACTATTTGTGGTCCATGCATCATGGAGAGGCATTTCTGAAAGGCAGCTGGGGAACTTATGGAAGGGTTTCCACAGGGGATGCACATGTAGCCCAGGTACATACAGAGAGGGGTAATTCTCACCTCCAACTCTCCAGGAACACTGGCATTTTCTGATAATGCTACTTATCTCTGTACTTCTCTCCATTGTTGTCATAGCCTCTGCTGGACCTTGCTTGGCCAAATGCATTGACTCAGCTGGAAGAATAACTTCTCCAGAAGTCGCTCTCCTGAACACTTTATTGCCTCCAATATCTTACTCAGCTGCAAACTGATCTCTTGCTCAAGAGAAAAGCAGGTGTTTCCATCTTCTTTCTAGTTAAAGCCCACAGGCTTTCTCCAGCTCTTGTAGAAAAGGCAACAGCCCTCACCTCAGACCAGCAGAAATCATCCCCTTGGATGGGATTCTGTTATTCCTTCCAAATATCTCTCTTCTTCTCAATAGAAAATACTCAGTCCCACTGCACATACTCAAGCAATAGGTCATTAGGGCTGACCTCATGTCTGAGAATGGGAGATGGAGACAGGGACAGATTTACCCATTGTTTTACCCAAGGAGACAATAATCTGTGTAGCAAGAGGTCCTCAGTATGCATTTCCCAGGCCCTCCTCTGAGACCTGCCCAAGCTCAGCTAGAGACCTCCATGGCATCCTCCTACCTTTCCTTCTCCATTCAGGGAAGAAGTAGTGAG